CAGCTGCCCAAGTCCTGACACTGGGACTCATGGAGCCATGTGGCAGATTGGCTCTGGGAACCAGTTTGGGTGTAGGCTAACCATTTTGTGGGAGGGATGGTCATTTTTCAGCTACACCAGTGCTCTGATTCAGTTCATTGCATGGCTGCATGAACACTCACGCTGGCACGGGGAGAAGGGGCACAAGAAAGGGGATAGGCAGGAGGAGGAGAAACTGAGGACAAGGCTGCATTTCCCTGCACCAGTGTTGGTTTAGGTCAGGTCATAGTGATGTGGAACTAAGGTTTCCAAATTTACAGAGGATCCTGACAGAGCAAAATTAATGTTTTCAAAAGACTCTTGAGGACAGATAGCAGAGGAAGATCGAAACTTATTTTAAGGAGCTGGTCCTTCAGTTATACAAAAAATCAGAGGCTGATGGAAATATCTTTAAAAGGAACCCTTTCAAAACAATTTCTTTAATGTCAAACCAAAACAGAAAGCAGCATTCTGCCATTTCTCACACTCTGAATGAGCTCAAATGCAAGAACTCAAGACTTTGCTAAAAACACAAATGAAAACAAATAGTTCCAAAAAGATAAACCATTCAGCACAAATGGCAAAGTAAATGAACATTTTAAAGAAACACAATCTAAACGACTTCAGGAATTATCTTTTAACAAAACATCTTTTACTAGTAGATTCCAGAGGACAAGCTTTTAAATGTTTCAGCATCCCATAAAAACATAAAAAATGCCCACTTCTGTTGGTGAATTATTGTTTGCCATGCATTAAACAGAAAAAATGTTTCCTTTACAAATGCTGCAATTTGCTTTTTATACCAGTATAATCTATTATTAGTAATAAAAAAAATTGCTTTGGACTTCCCAGCAGTTTTAACTCCATCTGCCTAGTGGTTCTATTTTATACCTATCAAATTTAAGTGTAAAAATATGCTTTCAATATTCTCGTGCAGAAAGTGGGGAGGAAGAAAAGGTCTGAGGTCGCAGCTGGAGGGGCTGTGTTGCATGCAAGTAAGTGTACTTGCAAATTTGTGCGGGGTCCAAACACTCTGAGTCAACTCCAGTGTCATCATGGGATAAAACCACTAAGGCAGCTGCTGAGTTTCCTGAGGTATCTCCAGCAGTGTAATGAGAAAGCCACGAGGAAAACACATAAAGAATGTCTATATTATGAATTATAAAGAGTAAATGCCATGGGAACTTCTGCTTCCCATATTTCCTAATAAATGAGCAGAGACACATTTGAGATGAAAAGGCCACAAAGGCTTAAGAGGGATAAAATGACTTTTTTTTTTTTTAAATAGACTACATGAGCTGAACTGCAGAACTTGCTGCCTTATGACATTACAAGAGGAAATACAGCTGCCAGAAGTTCATACACTTTTGAACAACTCTATTATAGGAACTATGAAAGCGTCTATGATGTTATGGTACTAAGAACAAATGTGTTTTGTTCTACAAGACATCGATTTTCAGAGCTGTGTAAAACATGGCACTGAGGAAAAACAGGGCTTTTACTCCATTAAAAACCTGATTTCACATTTGCATATTTTGTAGTCAGTTTCTGATTCTTTGGATATAGTTGCTCAAGAAATACTAGTAATATTGACCTCAACCTGTTCCTCCTTCCAATTCTGTGTATCAGTTTTGAGGGAGCTACTGCCTTCTCCTAAATTAGCATTTCTCACCCTTCATTTTCTCGAGTCACCTCAGAAAATAAGGCAAAAGAAATGAAACTGTAATATTGCCTGTGGGGTCTGTAATACCATCCCATGACACTCATGTCTCACATCTATCACAAATATTGATGTGGGATAGACCCACATGTTTACACCTTTCTGTGTGGAACAGACACTGGCTGTGGGTAATTTCCAGCTGAAGAGTTTAGGTTTCACAGAATTACCCTGAAGGTGCTAACTCGTTCCTTCCTTGTGGTGAAGCAGTACTCCCTGGGCCCATAAATATCTATTCATATCCTGCAGTCATGCAACCCCTGTACTGATCCTATCCTGGAAATGCCCATCTTGACTCCCTTTCCAAAGAACCATATTCTTACTAATTGAAACTAAAAGGAGAAAATATGGAATCAATTGGATACACATCAGGATACACAAGCAGCATCTGCACTTCTGGGCTCTGGCATTACCTACTATATAATTGCATCTGTGTGCTACTCTTTTTTAAATCGGCTGCTTAACAAATTAGTGGAGAATAACCAGCAAGAAATTCAGGGAATTGTAATAGTCTTATATCTGGGAAAATAAAGAAGACTAAATAAAAAATGGATTTTTTTCTGAGTGGCAACTTAAATGATCAAATCAGTCTTCCTTCTCTTAGTTGTCTATTAATCTGCCAAGGAGTCACAAAGTTCACACGTAAGAACATGCTGGGTTAACACATTTTTTGTCCCCTTATTTCATCCTCTTTCCAACAAGCACCCTCTAATTCACATGGAACTTTTTGGCAAACTCTAATTTCATTGTTTTCTAAAACATTCCCAGTGATTTTTGCAAGGCTCACACCCTAGAGAAATGACCTCTGGAAGATAAGCCCTTGGTGGACATCTCCATATAAAGGATTCCCCAAATTATCCAGTGGGAAGAGAATGCAATTTGAAATAAATTGCAAAATAAACTCCTTCTATGGATCAGAGAGGCTTTCAGAGAACACATGGTCAACACTGCCCTGCAGCAACTCCAGTTTACTTGAAACTTCTCTGCTCCACAGCTCATGCTCTCACAAGAACACTTGCACGCAGGATTCACCACCTTCCATGGCAGTGGACCAAAAGAACTCTGCCAGGGTCACTGTCCTTGGAACAAAAAATATCTAAGGAGAGACAGCTCTTTCTCCCTTCTGTTCCTTGCTCCTTTCTCAGCCACCACCTTCCTCTTTCCAATGCCAAAGCAATGCATTGTATGTAGTGTGGTCCAGCACAGCATTTTTGTCCCGTATTTTGGCTTGTGGGTTTTTTCTTGTAGTCCACAAGACAGCCTAATGAAGGGAGGCCCACATGAAAGAAAACCCAAAAGACTAAAATAATGAGTCTGGCTCAGAAGGACAAGAAACATTTTTACACATTACAGCCAGCTTGCTAGCCTTTGTGCAATGTCTAAGTTGTGATATATGATTTATTCATTTGTTTTTCTACTCATTTGCATTTCATATTACAAGACAATTTAAAAAAAAATTGACAGAACACTAATTTACTTCATAACGGATTTGCAGAAGACTTAATAAGCTCTTATTTTGTGCAGAAATCCAAACACTGTCTCATTAAACAACACTGCCTGTCGGAGAGAGAATACTTCCAACTCTTTGACCTAAGACACACACACACATCTTAAAACACTCCATCTTGAACCCAGTTCTCCTCTTACCCTGCACTGAGCTGCACGCAGAATCACGCTAGCCGAAGAGCATTTTTTACAGGCTCTGAAGGCTGGGAAATGCTCTGCATGTTTCGTGTTTCACATGCGGCAGGCTCAGTGTCAGACCGCCCTCTCACGGCAAGCGCCAGGGCAGGACCGCGCCCGCTGACACGGCCCCAGGCCACCAGGAAGATGTCAGAGAGGGTCTCTAATCCCCAGCATATGTAGGCATCAGCACATGCAGCCGGGGCCTTCCAAATTTCCAAGCTGGAAGCAGTTTTTTATGCTCTGGCCTCGCTGCCGCAATGACAAAAGCATCACTGTCTCGTCATCCGCGCATCGCGCTGCAGTTTTGCTGCCTCTTGTCCTTGCACTCAGCAGAATTTGGCACTGGGATTGGATTCTCCATCCCTCCTTCAGTACGTTGGGTCTTGTAAATTCTGGCCTCATCAAAGCATTGTGATGAATGCCTTAACAGCTTTGTCTCTATCATAGCTTGAAACAGCCCTCTAGGGCACTGCAACAGAACAGCGCACAGCAGTATCTTACCTGCTCACATCTACCCTCTATCTCTTCCATTCCCACCTTATCCCAGTCATATCTATCAGGGAGGACTAATACAGAATTAATTCTGTCAGTCTCAGACAAAGTAAGAGAAAACAGCACTGCTGGACCAGTATAAAAGAGATTGCAATTCAGAGCAGAATCTGTATCTTCAGCTGCATGTTAAAGAATATCATGACTCTCAGGCATTCCTGGAAGAAAACTACACAAATTCAATCACTTTTTCTCCACGTTGGGATTTAAGTCCTAGAATACTGAACACATATCAGCATTGCTTTGAAACAGTAACAGATAGGTATGTCACAGTTGTTTTGTTGCTTGTTGTATAGAAAATACATTACAAAGAGGATGAAACATCACACAGAGGACTGGATAGTAGCTGCATCTGCAACTTCAAGAGATGAATAGAAATACACCTAATTTTTCATAAGGACACCAAGTAGTCAGTTCTTTTGGGACAGAATGCTGTACAAAACTACGCTCAGGAAACCATAATTGATGCCTGAGTGAGGTAGGAATTATATTAATCATCTTGTCATACTGTTTTTTAACATACAATACCTGTTCTGAAATGCTGCACCATGCTTGAGTTGCTTGCCATTTTGAAGGTTTACACTTACAAAGAAGCTAAACCGACAGCACCTAGCCCATAAATGAAGTCATATCCTTATGAAACCCACTACAAAGTCAGACAATATACTCCAAGGGAAATCTATGCATTTCAATTTGCAAAGCAGGGTGGGCTGGCAACTATACAGCCAGAACTCCAACATATCTCCATCCCTGCTGCATGTGGATGAGTATGGAAAAAAAAAAACCTCAGGGTTGACAGTACTTAGAAGTATGATGATTTGGGTATTAATTTTACAATAAGAAGGAATTCTTTTGCAATGCTATTGCAATACTTCTTTGCTGCTGGATGATGTTTTGACTGTACCCAGAGAGACACTCTGGTAGCAGCTGAAATAAGGGAGGGAGGGAGGGAGGGAGGGAGGAGGGGAGCAGACTACTTGGAATCTGAAATGAACTTTAAGGAAGGAAGGAAGGAAGGAAGGAGGCTTACCTTGTGTTGTCCCGTCCAGTCCCATGAGACATCTCATTGCCCTGATGATTTGCTCTGCTACGGGGGGACACATAGATGTGGCGTACACAGCACTATGAGAATGAGTTCGTAAAAAGTCCACAAGGTCCTTACACAAGCAAAACAAAGCATGAATGAGCTTTGAGCTGGCCAAACAGCAGATCTCCCCCTTAACTACTGCAGGAGTGGGAATGTGCAAAAGGAAGAGGACGTTTCACCAGCTACTGGATTGCATTCTTGACTGCCACTGTTAATACACAGCCTGAAGAAACATCAGGCAGGTCCAAATGCTTTACCATATAAGTGGGACAATTACAGCTGAAACAAAAGTCTGGAATAGAATAATGTTTACTTCTGTGCTCAGACTTACTATAAAGGAGCCAAAATAATTTCAAGACCAATGAACTGCCGCACTTAAAATAATGCTGCTCAGTTCCCCTCAGGTAATGAAACAAAGGGTATATGACATCAGTATAGGTCCTCTGCTACATGACCTAGCCCAGGAAAAGCAGCCTCACTGTGCTTATTATGTCTATAAGCACATAAATTTAAATCAAAATTTTCAATCAGTGTGGTAGGTACAGTCATGTCAGAGTTGGTATAATTGCTTTAACATTTCCTAAGAACACAATCTGTGCTCTTAGAAAAACTGTTGATATGCTGTAGGCATGTCTAAAACATCAGTAACTCTCCTGAATTCAGGCATGCAGTAGGAATTCAGATCTTTCTAAGATCATCATTGTTATAACAACTTATATCTCCTAGTGCAAAATATCAGAGTAACCACACTAGAAGTTGAGTCCATGTTAGTGAGAAAGGGATGAGGCCTGCTTGAAAATTGACTTTGATAAAATAATAGTTACCACACTAAAAGCTGAGTGCATGTTAGTGAGAAAGGGATGAGGCCTGCTTGAAAATTGACTTTGATAAAAAAGTATAATCAGAAAAGAAAATCCAGCGAGAGTAACACAAATCACTACCAAAATGAGTCTACACACTCCGGTGCTGAGGATAAAGATTTACCTAACCTTACACAGGTTGTGCAGGGTGAGAGTAACACAAATCACTACCAAAATGTATGAGTCTACACACTCCAGTGCTGAGGATAAAGATTTACCTAACCTTACACAGGTTGTGCAGGGCCATATTGCAATTGTATTCCTAAGGGTTTGGTTAAAAGCTAAGAAGGGTTCTGGGCTCCAGCTGATGCAGAATAAACAGCACCACTGTGAGTTTTTGGCTACAGAAAGGAATGTAAGTGGGTGAATGGGTGACCAGCCTTCCAAGGCTGGGAAGCCTGAGGCAACACTTAGCGATACACATAGGCGTGAAAAGAGTGACCTGTTTTCACGCAAAAAAACCTCCCAAGGATTAGAGCATATATTACATGGCACTACCTTTCACAGGTCCAATCTTTCTATACCTTCTAGCTACATTACCCACATTATTTTTGGTAAGAAATAAACATACAGATACAAATTTAGGAAGCCAAGGAAACAAAGAAAATTGATTCTTGATATATTATGACACTTGGTTTTAAGATCTCCAGGGGCAAACCCAAGAAAGACAGTAAGAAATACACAGTTTATACTTTCTTATAGCCCTTTTATTCTACTGTAGGGCTACCCTTATTAATGTTATCCTGACAACAACCATATGGGCTGAATAAACAGGCTTCCCACTCATTCAGCAGACTGCTTAAAAATACATTCAGCAGGATATGAAAAGAGAAAATAATCAGCAGCCATTTGATCTCTCTGTCAAGCAACAAAACCAATGACATTTCACAATGGTGCTGATTATGCTTTCCCTTCTACACCCCCAGTTAAAGCAAGCTCAGCACTACTTTTTGTTGACATCTGTTGTTGGCAAGAGATTGTTTTGTTAATGTATGTGGAGCAACTGAGGACACAGAACTTACTATTGCAAAAGGCCCCCAGTAACTGTTTTCTCCATTCTCCTAAAAAATGCAACTATGTTAATTCACAACTCTTTAGGAATTTTATTATCAGTGGATGAAACTGTGGTTTTAATCTCTCAATATTGCTTCACATACTGTTTACAAATGTGAAACAAAGTAATGAACAATCCGCATGCAAATTAATGTAGGGAAGTGTATTAGCCAACCACAACATGTCCAAACATTTCCAAGACAAACAACAATCATCAGAGTGGCACAGAATAATCCAACTCAAGCAAATTACATAATATGAACATGATACAAAAATAAGAAAGTCTGACTGTTTGATGTGCATTTGGGATCCAAGCAAAAATGATGCTAGCTTCAGAACAGTGCTCATGTAAAGCACTCTGTTCAAAAAGATACTGAAAAAATATCATACATCATACAAAAGCAGTTCCCACATGCTTGATGTGAAATTGTTTATGATTTCCTCTTACCTTTTTGCCAGCTATGTATCCTCCAGCTGCGCCAAAGCTCTTTGTGAACGTTCCCATTAATACATCAACATCGTTGGGACTCATTCCGAAGTATTCCACAACTCCTCGGCCCGTAGCTCCCACTGCACCAATGCTGTGAGCTTCGTCCAAGTAGAGGTATGCTTTGTATTTGTTCTTCAAGGAGACTATCTCTGGCAGGCGCACGATGGACCCTTCCATGCTGCACATGGAGAGAATCAGGGGTGAACAACAAACCCTCTCCCACACTGGCAGAAAATATAGCAATTGATTGCCCTAATCCACCAAAGTTCCTCTGGAATCTCAATTTTTACTTACAAGCCAAAAAAAAGAAAAAAAATCAACTCTTAACCCATTCCCACTTGCAGGTGAGCACAAAACAGTTAAACAGTTTTAGAGTTCAAACATTGAAAACCAGTAAAAAAGTCTTTGAATGTTTGTAAATTATCAACATGTCAGAGGAGACGAGGAAAGGTGTAAAGCAAGGCAGAGATACTTACCCTAAGCAGCACACTACAGTTCATCTCTACAAAACAAACATTATAAAGAACAGCTATAATTCAGTCTGGTCTCCTTGCTTATTTCATCGTCAGCTACTGTGGCAATATTTGGGCATAACAGCTCTAGAGCAAATTCATCTGGTGCAGAAGATTTGGGTCCAACATACACTGGAGTTGGGCCATGTGAAACCCACAGCTGGTGCCATAAACTCTAAGCATTCCCAGTCTTCACAGAATTAGGCATTAAAACAGGCAGCTGAAATCCAGTCCTGCCAGTTTTTGCTTCGATATGAACTTTTTAGGAAATGTAGCCTGCTACCTAGTGCAAAAGTAAAAAAAGTTTCAATTCCTTTTCTTTTTACTTTCTTACAGCCATGCAGAAAAACAAAATATTTGGAACTGGCACAGGTTGCCCAGAGAAAGCTGTGGATGCCCCATACCTGGCAGTGTTCTAGGCCAGCTTAGATGCAGCTCTGAGCAACCTGGTTAAGTGGAAGATGTCCCTGTCCATGTCACGGGGGGTTGGAACAAGATGAGCTTTCAGGTCCCTTCCAATCCAGGCCATTCCATGATTCTGTGATTAACGATGTACTGAGATTTATAGAAATGGGAAGAAATGATCTTTTGCACTGCTGGCGGTCGTGCCAGTAAATGGGAAGGCACAAAGGAGGTGTCCAGCAAAATGAAAATGCAGGGATAAATAAGAAATGCTCTCTGATCCCATAAAGATGACATATGCATAGTATTGCTGTGAAGACTTGTGTCTTGAAAACCTTTGTGAGATGACCACAGCTATGCTTTGATATGCTCAGATGCACTCAGTATTCATTTCTTAATGAGTTAATCATGTTCTCTTCCACTAGCTCTAGTAAGCAGGTCTTTAAAGGCTAAAAACTTCCCATCAAACACAAATTTAATGTGGGCCAAGAAAACCAGGGCTCTGTGGCTAAGGCCCACAGCTAAGGTGCATCCACTTGCAAATACAACGAGTTTCAGATGACGAGAAACATGGACTTTGGTCCCAAATAGCAAGTACAAAAGAGAAGTGCAATCAATAGTGCCTTGGAAATTTTTGGATCCTGAACCAATGGCTTTCACAGGCTGCTTTGTTGCCACTTGTACTGTGCAGCTGGAAGTTTGGCACCACAAAAGGAGCACGATGTGCTTTTAGCACTCGGGCAATTTCTCACAATTTTAGTCCTCCTCCATCCTTTGGTCTCCTGAGTAAACTTGGAAACTGGTCTCCAGTTTTGAAGTAGACCTACCCAAAGACAAGTCTCCATTAGTGTAACAGCATGGGGGAGTAGCCATGGACAAGGGTTGCTTGTGCTGTTCACACTGAGAGGTTCAGAGAGCCCGGCTGTGTGTGCCTGGAGGCATATTTTTGGCTGTCGCTGACTGCTGGCAAATCATGCCCTTCTGTCTTGCCCAGCCATAAAAGAGGCAGCTGTTAGGACTGTGTGTTGGCACCATGGTCCCTTGCAGCAAAGAAGGGTGGGCTTGTACTGCAATCTCCTGAGGGCTGGGCTTTCTCACTTTTCCCAAACAGCACTTGGCAGCTGGGGGAGAAGCAACTTAAACCACCACAGCTATTTTCCTAGTGAATACAGGGGCAGGGCCCACAGTCCTCACATAGCCCAGAGTCAAAGCATTAGTCAGCTAAAATGACACTGAGCCACTGGACGGGCTTGGACGTGCACCATCGTACGGGCTGGGCTTGGCAGCTTTCAGCTGTGTCTGGTGGGTCTGCAGGGAGAGCAAACAGCACCTCTGCAAACTGCAGTCCCACCCTCCATCTTCCTGCATGCTTGGGCACAACGGCCAGGCAGAGACAATAATTGCTTTTCCACATTTATATGGTCATCATTAGGCTTAGTGGCTAATGGAGATTCAGGCAGGAGAGACAGCATTTAACTTCAAAAAGAGTAAAAAAGGGTAAATTAAAATGCTGGGTATTTGTGTAATGGAAGGAAAGTTGTGCTGAATCCCAGAATATATGAAGCTGGTACATGGCTGATGCAAGATTTAACCATTTAGAAGATTAAATGAAAACTTTTCTTTCTCATATGAGTAGGAGATTTCTCTTGGAACTCCAAGCTGCTTAGCAAAGCAAGGCACTTATATTTAATTTCAGTTTTGATCTACTGCTCTCGAAAGATGCTGGCTGACATAAATGCAGTAGTTGACAGATGTCCCGATGTGGCCTTGAAGCATCCATGGAACAGATAAAGTGTTGCTGGAGTTGTGTACATGTTCTGTGCTGCCATTCCAACAGGTCCCAGCCATCCTGATGACAGAGGTGAGAACTGTTTTGCTGCCAGCTCTGGTCTTGGTCATCTTTTGACCCTAGGAGATAGCTGGTGATATGCACACCACTCTCTCTAGAATTGCTTCAAGATAAAGCTCACTTCACATAACCCCTTGAGTAGCCCAAATGGAAAATTTACTGAATCCTCCAGTAAATGTTTATGTCAAGTGAGCTTAAACCAAATCACCAGAAGTGAACTGTACTGGTTCTGTCTCACTCTGGCTGGGCCTCTTAGCTTTGTGTACAAATGTATTGATCTGTTTCCAGATCTGCTCAAGCACACAGGGCATATAAAAATCCCCCAGATGCAGATGAACTAAAGGTGGCTCTGCCCAGGCCAGGTGTTCTCATTACGTGGTATGACGTCCTGTCTTGTAGCACAAATTCCTAGCTTGGTGGCAGGGATGGAAAGCTTCTAGACTGCAGCTGACCCTCATCTCCCTTGTGTGGTGGACAGGCACAAAAACTTGGGCCAGTACACACTAATTTTGAATGTACTTCCATATTGCAGCTGACCCTCATCTCCCTTGTGATGATGTACACACTAATTTTGAATGTACTTCCATACCTGAGGAGATAATCCTAAATTTTTAGAACATTCCAGTTTGGAACTTGATTCAATCCCCACCAAAGCACTGATGTTCTTTCTGATGCAGCTGTTGAATTGTGGATCCAGATGCTTTGAGAGACAGGTCACTTCACTTGGAATACAGGCTTAGCTTACCCTTGACATGATATTGATGGGGGTTTTGCCCAGGTTATCTTGAAACTTCTTGGGAAAAGGGGCTTCTACATTCTACTATGGTACCACATCCTTTTTTTTTTTTTCCTGTCAGGAAAAATAATTTACAAGTATTCCACCTCTTATCTACTTCATCTTTAAACATGCCCTAGAGTACCACTATCTTCTCAACATTTGAAGACTTTACCTGTGCCCCATTCAGGCTGGTTTGTAATTGGGAAAAATCCCTCCTTTCCTTGCCTGCTACTCACAAGACATATACATTCCATTTTAGCAGTTATTTAGGTACTGTTTTCTTACATAAACTTTGTACATACATACAACAATCTCTGTTTTGTAGTTTAGAGCAATAATTTTAAAGAAATCTTTCAACTCTGCCCTCAAATACAACTCCATTTCAACACTGAAATTATAGCAATTTTAACCTTTAATGCTGGCCCTTGGCCAAAGACATTAAATGTTACCTCATTTTTTCTTTCTGGAAGTCCAGTCACCTAACCCCAGGAAATAAAAAATACCCTGCTAAATTTCCTACACTGTTGGCATTGAATCCCAAGGAACTTCTAATGCACATGAAAAGGCATTGGACAATATCTAACTGATCAGAGCCATTTTCTTAGCTGGAAGGGAAACTACAAAAATTAAATTAAAAGTAAGGAAAAAACAAATGAAAACCAATCTGTTCTGATCAATTTCTGATGCTCCATAACTTCCACCCTGAGCCTTGGCCTATCTGACTCCTAAGTAAATATGTATGGAAGAGAGCAGAAGCCTACCACAAACCATGTAAGAACACAGTAACTGATTAATCCTCAACTGGAAATGGTAGAAGCCAAGGAAAACATTAGCTGGAATTCAAATAATAAAAATATTATTTAGCAAGTCAGTTTAACTTGTGCCCTGGTTACTGCCAAAACTTGTTCATGCTTTTTGGAGTCAAGATTGATGGCTAGATGGTCTCCCTCAGTTTGGAACACAAACTGAATATATTTGCTCCTAGGCTGGTCCAAGTTAAAAACCAGCTTTCACTAGGAGCTATATTTACTTTTGATGATTTTTTTAAGATAATAGAGACATTAAAAAGCAAACAAAAATATACCTAATGCTATTTATTTGACATGTAGCTTGAGTGCTTCCCAAGTCGAGGGGCCAATTCTGCCTTCAGTTGTAACCAAGCAAAATCTGTGGTTTATGGTTCCAAACACAAGTCTGATTTCCAGAAATGCTCATGTTGGCTAACAATGACCCTTTTCAAATTTTGCCAGTTGGTAAGTGTAAACACTTTAAGATACTCCTAATGGAAACAGAAGGCAAATTTCTTTCCATACCATAAACTCATCATACTAAGACTATGGTGTCCCATATAACAGTATTTTTTTGAAGAAGGAAAGCTTAGTGTTTTCTTTTACATCTCTGGAAAAAGCATTTCTGTAAAAATTTGCCAGGCCAAACTTGCACATTAAGATATTTTAACTTGGAGAATGGCTCTGACCAAGTTATTTAAATTCTCTATTTGCTGTCCCTGAAGCATAATTCAAGGAAAAAAAAAGGCAGTATTAACTATTGTAAGAAGAATACATTAACTGCACTCTAACTCCTCTTAAACCCTCTTGATGAATGTTAATTTGACATTTGGCAAACCTTCAAGAAAACTATCATTAGCCAATATGGGGCTGGAAAACCTTAGTCTTTCAAAAACCCAGGCCAAGAAGGGAAAGAACATACACACAAAGAGAGTGAGAGTATTTCTACTCTGACTTTCTCCAGCTATTTATTTATTTGTTTGTTTGTTTATTTATTTGCATATGAAGTGTTGTTAGCTACCAGCTGGCTCAGGCTGCCTGGGCACGCAGCGGTGGCAGGGACACAGCACGGTGGCACATGGTGGCACTCGCCCTCAAGCCACAGCAGATCTGCTTCACAACCAAACCACACTCTCCCATTTCTGATCTTTGAAAACAACTAACTAAACAACCAACCTAGCTACTGCTAGGGATAGTTTCCAATGACAGACTATTAGAGACCTGAGCTTTGTTCTTTCAGAACCTTATGCCTTTCAGAAGCATAGACACTCAGGGCTTTTAACATTATTTAGCTTTTATGGAGCTGAAGGAACTTTATGGTTCCTTTAAGTAGGTACTCTGAGGTTTAAGGTGCTTTTCCAACAGAAGGTTTTTGAATTCTGGCAAATTAAATCTCATTTGGGAATGAACTGTAAAACTACAGGAAAAGAAAACTCTACACCAAACATAAATCTGGAAATACAGTTATAAGTTAGTATAGTTAAACAGCTGACAGTGGGTTTGTTCCACTTCTTGGACTCATCCACGCCTCTGTGTTACCAGTCTACCTTCTCATTCCCTAGTGGTCAATATTCAGGGTAAAGGATTTAAAAGTGAACAAAGCTCAGCAGCTGGAGCCTTTTCTGCCAGCCATGTGACCCATGGGAACATCTGTCAGTAAAATGTTGGTGGTCCATTTAATTTCTGCATGATCAAAGTCCTTAAATCCAAGCTTTCTTTTAGTAGTGCCAAGCAATGTTTATTTGTAGTTCTGCTCTGTTTATTCTGGTTGAAAGGACACGCTCAGCCTGCTTTGGATCAGCTGATCTGCTGATCCTGTTTCACCTCTGAGTGACAGGTGTTTAGATAAGGACCGATTTGGTCTTTTTGCAGATGGAAAATGTTAGGCAAAAAGAAAGCACTGACAACGATGAAGTTGTGGTGACATGAGATCCTAGAAGATTTCTTACCAAAAAAAAGCTAACTGGCTGAGCTGTGCCAGCATTTTGCAGTAAAATGGCATAAATGACTGTCCATTGAGACTGGCTGTATTTCAGCAAGACATGATAAAATCCCCACATATAAAGCTTTAATGTCACTTTTAGAAACCCTGTCATGTCCTGTGAATGAGTGGTTCTGGTTTTCTTCTCTCTGGGACAGGTGTTCCACCCTTGTCCTGCTCCCCCATCTCCTGTCACCACTGCAGCAGCCTTGCCTACATCCCTGCAAACCCTCTTGCTGTTCACACCCCTGCTTCTTCAGCCCCTCCTGCCTTTCCCTTCTCAAACTCCTGCCCATGAGTGGCTCCTCCTCCATGAGCTCCCTCGTTGCCTTCCCAACATCCTTCTCCAGCCTGGAGCAGTTGCCAGGACAAAGGCCAGGATGATGAGCCTGGCTGGTGCCACTGCTTTGCTGCTCAACTCCAGTGATTGTTTGCCTTTCTGGTTGGGGGTAAGCTGCCCCAGTGAGTGCTCTACACCATGTGGCTACCTGACTTAGGTGCTCTATAATTACATTGTATTATTATCAGATGGATTCTCAAAGGCACTTCTCTCATTTGAATTCCTGCAGGGATTAGGGCTATGTTAAACACCACTATATTATTATTTGAAAGCCAGTCTTTCAATTTTCCTGTTAAAATGTGAGTCTATTAGATCCAGCACTTGTTACTAAAAAGGTGCTGGTATCACTTAACGTAAGGCTAGCTTAAGATTTCAACAGCTGGGCAAGAACTGGGCATGCAGAGTTTAATCAATTCTGTGTAGCTGTCTTTTGATCTGCCCACATGTAACAAACAACTCTAGGAAGCTCAGCTTACTCAGCAGAACTCCTCACCAACTGTAGTTCCACAAACTTTATCACAACACACATCACCTTACCTGTCCTGCTCTCAGTACATCTCCCACTCAACTGTGATTTGCTAAATCAACATCCAGAACAATGTACAGGATCTAATTTGAGCTACAGGATACAAGGTTCAGGCTGTCACAATGGAAATCAACATATTCATGAGATAGAGAAAGTTAGTGCAACTTCCACTCTCACTAAGATTTCCCTCAGATACCTAGAATCAGAGTTTGCCCCACTCAAATCATCATTCTCTCCTCAGAAATGATAGAATACTCATCTTTCTACAACACAAACATACCTGTAAATGCCCTCCACCAGGATGATAATTTTTCTCCATGCTCTGTGGGTGCGAGGCTGTCCATATATTATTGCATCTCTCAGCAACTTCTCGAGGCTCTGCATATCTTTATTTAAAAATAAGAAAAAGGAGGAAGGAAAAACAACAGTTTTTTGTCAAGAACTTTCAGTTTTCTTGGGTGCTATTTTTCCTGTTCAGAAAAAGACAACATTAAAAAAAAAGTGTCCTAAAAATAAACTTATTTTATTAGTGGGCAAGACCCAACGATTCCTTTCATTGGTGTGAATGCAATTTAGTGACAAGAAGAGTTATAAAAAGCTTCCAGTTATGCACCTGATCTGGGAAACTTCCAGAAATACTCAGCATACATTTGTATTTAAAGGCAAAAGGGAATTACTTTTCTTCAGTACTGAGGCTAACTGCCAGCAGTTCCATGTAGGGGCTGCTTATACTCATAATTTCTCAAGGTTGAATAAACTGTGAGTTTTGGTGGCTTTCCAACCAGAAGCTCACAAACAACAAGCATTTCTTCAGCAAAGGCTTTGACAAGGCTGCATGAAGCACGTAAGGATGGCAGCAAGAGAAGTCTTGTCCTCCTCAAGAAGGAAAGCAAGTGGAAGGTTGCTGATGAGAGAGGAAGAGGCAGGTGGATACAAACGCATGGCATGAATACACTAATCTAAATGCTTGGCACTGGCAGGACTTCAATATAAGGAGGTCTGGAACAAGGGTATGATCCTTAGCTGCTTCCTTAAGGGCTGAGTGTGGGGCATCAAAAAACATCTTGAAGGAAAGCCACTGAAATTTTGAAAAATATGGAAGAAGCAAGAAAAAATGCCACAGAAATCAGGTCAGGCCAAATGTGACTCTCAATGCACCAGCATTCTGGTGTCTCCAATGAATGGACACTCTTCAAAATGAATTATTCAGGTACTTTTCAGGAATTTGGACTGGCATTTCAAAATGTTTTCCAATAACATCCTGTAGAGTCTCATATCACCCAAATAACACTACAGATCAGCTGAAACCATGGGCTGAGAAAATCAATGGCATTTTCCCACAATATAACCCCATTTGCTTCAGCAACACAACACAGTTGATACAAACTAGTACAATAGCACAAAGTTAATGTGTAAAATGAATTGTCCTGAGGGAAAAAAAATACACCTTAGAAATATTAATATTGACCCATAGTTTGGTTTCTGCCCTAGGGGAATGGAGCCATCTGCACATTAATTGCCCATTGTGAGTAACCTGTGCCCTGAGAGACTGGCAAGTTATGACCTGAACCCTTCCACATCCTGATGCCTCACCTCTTCCTAGGAACATTCAGTGATGTTGGTGAAAGGTAAAGATCTCAGTGATAAAACTGCCCCTCTGCACCTGACCTAGCAAGTCCCTGCTGTACTCTACAAAGCACAAAAGAGGCATGGACAATATCAGTTGCCCCTTGTTTCAGTGGTGCCATGGCCTGCACACCTCAGTGAGCTCTGAGATGGAAAATGCTGCTAGGAATAGTGCAATGCACCCAGCACACTTCCCACTAGATGGCAATCAAGGAAATGAAAGTTCTTTGGTGCTTTATATGGGAAAGTTAAAACCAAGCTGAGAATTTGCAGCTGCTCACTTTCTCTTTTGTTTCAAGTAGATAATATTTAGAATTCCTCTTAAAGGACTCCCTCAGGATGACAAAGAGCTCACAGTAAATTTGGACACCCCCTTTTCTCCACCAAATTATTATTTACTGATATCAGTGTCTTCTAAATCGTCTTCAGAACCCCTTTTCTGAATCACACAGGATTTTTCAATTCAGCGTTCTATGTGTCAGTCCAGATCTGCTCATGACTTCAGAAAAGTTATTCTGCCTCTGAGCTAAAAGCATGGCTTGAAGATTTCGTTGTTTCAGCATATGCACATGAAAAGAAAAATGGAGAGAGGAAATGAAGTGAAATGTGTATAATTCTGTTTTTAACAATACATGGTTGTGAATAGGTCCTTTGTCCAAACTGCCATGGAACATGAGACCTCAGACTGGGAAGAACCCCTCCAAGGGATGAGGTTCCCTGATTTTACACATAATATGGTCCTGCTGGAGTACCGGCTAAGAACATGTCTGTTTGCAGGATCAGGGCTATCTCACTTTCTTTATGACTTCTCATTTTGAAAACCATGTATGTGTGACCCTTTGTGAAGCCTGTAATAGTCAACACATAATTTGTTCACGTGCAAATAAATTTTCCTGTTCTATTAACTGCCTCATTTGGAAAGGGGAATGGACAGAAAGAAAAAAAAAATCTTTAGTATTCCCCACAAAAGGCTGCTTCTGTTCTTCAAGGTGAAAACAATGCTCTATGAGCATGTGCTTAAGCTTTTCAGAAAGTGGGACATACTGAATACCAGGAAAAACAACAGCACAACCCCAGATGACTTTCAGATATCAAATTATTTACCCATTAAATATAGTTAGATTGAGAGACATTAGGATATTAAGATGATGAGCTGCACAAGTCCATCTTGAATAACCAATTATAGAGAAAATAACAGTCCTTCTTTGTTTGACCATCACCAGCACAGGGTTCTCAGCAGCAATGGCCAACAACTGCTCACCAGCCCAGGAGGTGGTGTTAAGAATTTGACTTGATTAATCAGTCAAAGCAAAATCAAATCTATCCATGTTTCACTTTCCACCTTCTCCTTACAGCATATTCCCCACATATGGAGGATAAAGTTTCCTAAGAGGGGACAGTGGATCTATCAGCGGGTTGGTGGACTTGCATAATCCTTGTTTGGGGTTTCTCATAGTTAATTCAAGAGTAATACCAGGAACACAAACTGCCAGTGGGCTGGAGCAAGTCTGAACCTGGGCAGGCAGCGTGTCATGCTGCCTGCAGTGCAGGTGGGACAGCAGGCTGCTGGAGGCAGCAGGGCACGCTCAGGGAGACACGATGTCTCCACCTCTCATCCTCACACTGTAATGCTGGGGATGTCATCACCATTCCCCTGTGTGGGCTGGAAACCTCCTGTGTCATGTCAGCTGAATCCTGTTTAATTAAAATGAACAGGCTGCTGCTGCTCTTGTCACATTCTTCTTTTTGCTCTGCACTTGTAACTCTGATTTTCAGTTTCTCCCCTTTTGCACTCTCACGCAAGGGGGCACAGACCCCGTGGCTCCAAACAAATATCTTTGTTTGGAACGTGGGAGTGGTGATCACTGCAGCCACGGCAACAGTCTGAGACTCCCCTCCCTGCCCTCAATAAATACCAATCTCTCTGAAAGTAAAGGGCAATGGCTCAAGAAAGCTCCCTGTGCACACCTGGCAAGTCAGACGTGGCTTAGAGCAGAGAGGGCGGACGCAGACACGGCGTGCAGGGAGCAGGACAGACCAGTCTCCTTGCCCTGCCAGCGTCTGTATGTGTCACAGGGAATTACACCCAGCTGGATTAGGCTGCAGTCCACCTATCTGGGCAATTATCTTGTCTCTGATAGTGGCCAGAGGCTTCAAGGAGCACAAAACCCTAGTGGGTAATGTGCCTTTCATCCTGCTCTGTAACAGCTGTAACACTGCGTTTCCTTCTGAAATTCAAGGGCTACCTACACAGTTTGAAAAAAAAATTTAAAATTAAGGAACTGTCTTGTACTAAGCCACCACAAACTATTGGAGTTTTGCAGCCAAAGAGATATCTTTCTAATTTTTACCTGCTTATTTATCTCTTTAATTTCCCCTCTATTTTTATTTGCTTGCTTAATTAGTTGCACTTAGTTTTACACTTTTTTTCCCCTCCTTCCTTTTATTTCCTTTTTTTTAGCTAGAGAATATATATGCTCTGAAAGGAGAAGGCCTTCTGCCACCTAGAAGTTCCTTCTTTATTAACTACAGCTCCTCCAGGTAGCTGTGCATTCTCAAGGTGTCCTCATGGCTCTTGTATCTGAACTGCAAAGCAATAATTTGACTGAGTACACTGAGAAATGCCAGAGTTGGATTAACAGAAATTCACAATTGCTGTCCAAGCTGGAAACTGTGTTTTGTATGGAAACCTGGACAGCTCACACCTGCATCACACACTTGTTGTCAACTACTTGATCTGTGAGAAACTAAAAAAATCCCTTATTACTTTCACAACACTGAAAAGGTGCACAAGGAGGAGCTGGGAATGTATTACCCTGATTGCCATTCAGATGCAGATTCAAGCACCAGATTACAGGCTGGATTTTCACCTAACCAATGTGCTCGGTTATGCTTTGCAATTTCCTGCCTTCCTCACAGGATCGCTTGTTCTGACTGCTCAGTGAATGCAATGCATTGCAATCCCTTGCAATGAAGAGAACTGCACATATTTTTCCCCCATGGCCTGAGTTCTGTACCTTGTCACAACATTCCCGTTGACTTTTAGTGCAATTGCAAATTTAAACCTGAAAACGGGGCTGCAGTTGAGTTGCTTGATGCTACATGGGGAAAATGTAGTAGAATTAGAAAGAATAAACAAATCCTAAGCCTTGCATGGTGCCTTCCTTTACAGGCTGGTAAGAACAGAACTCACTTGGATATAATTAGTCCATAACACTCTCATCTGTTCACTGAAGGAACACCTGATACCAGTATAAGACCCAGAACTGCTGGGGGAGAAACACCTTGATAAAATCACATGCTGATTAATGGTTAAATATTTGGTTTTGCTTTTCAGGTTTTATTGGAAGGGTCAAGGATTTTGGCTAATAGTTAACCAGATAAAGGTCAGAGGTCCTGAAAAATGGCTATTAAATGTATGGGGTTAGTAAAAGATTGCCTTAGAAATTAAAAAGAGAAAAGTAAAAGGCCAAAAAGCTACATTCAATCTCTCCCTGAGCCAGAACATAAAAACATCTGAGTTTAGCCCCCATTTAACTTGTCATTTGGGGAGGGTGTGAGAGACTCCCTGGAGACCAAGGCTGGTGAGGGTCACATCAGACACCTTCCAGCAAAAAAACTAACCAAGGCCAGGCCACTACTGCCCCAGCGGTGGAGAGATGTTTTAGCATCCCACATTCTCCCACTGCACACTGGCTGTTGGACAGTGCTGCTGCCTGAATTCCAGTGCAGCACTGCAGCTCTGTCCTATCTTCCAAAAAAATATCACTTCCTAGGAAATGGCAACCTGAGTGGTGTCCACCCCACAGCAGGGGAGACAAAAGGCAGGTGCTTTATGGGCAGGTCAGAATGATTTTAATCCACTAAAACACTACTGCATACATTTAGGACTGCTTAGACCCTAAAATAAAATCGAAAAACAAATTAAAATCCCCTAGACCTGTGATTCAGGGGCTCCAGGGAGCTGAACTTTGCTGCTTGCACCCAAAAAACCTCACAAATGCCTGACACAGAGAACCTCCCTCAAAGCCAAAACCCATGTGCCAATACTGCTGCGTCCTTAGCAGGGTGAGGACTAGAGACAGAGCTAATGAGAGCCCACAGGAAGGGAAGGCCCTGTTCAGGAGATTTTAGTTATGGGGCTAAGATGGAATATTCTCTTCCATTTCTCTCACACAGAGAGATGATCTGTAGGTGTGTGTGCCTGTGCATTTCTCTCAGCCCAGGCCTGTAAATTCCTGTCTGTTTACAAGGAAGGGATTGTTCACTGGCAGTCAGGATGCAGGACACATTCCTATGTCCAAATAAAAACAGACTTATAGGTCCACAGCAAATTTTTTTTATAATATTCACTTTAGGGCTTGAAAACCTTCTCATACACCATGCAATGTTTTTGTCAAAAAGGAAAGATATCCAGATGCCTTTTATTTCACCTGGGAAAAGCATAGATGCCTAAGGATCTGTTCTAGAAAAGCTATACAGAATTTTATAGAGGAAAAGCATCGATGCCTAAGGATTTTGTCTGTTCTAGAAAAGCTATACAGAATTTTATAGAAAGTGTAATGTCTAAGAGAGCTACCCACTTATTGAAATAGAATTTCATTAACTTTTGTAAGAAAATAAGTTATACATAATTAAGGCAATAGGTAGAGAGTCTTGTCTTACAAATGAAATAATTCTCTATTAATAATAAAGTAATAATTATTTACTTTTGAAAGATGACAAATCAATCCTCTATTACAGATTTCATGCTTTGAAATAAAGTAATAGTTTTACAGAATTAGCTATAGAACAGCATTTGAAAGATTAAGGTACTTCATAGCGAGTTTAAAATGGTAGATTTTACTCTCTTTTCTGTGAAATATTTTTATCATAGAAGAAAGTTTTGTATAATTTTTCTTTAGACAAAGAGTTTTTCCACAAGAGAGCAGGGAAAGTAAAGAGGAGTGAGATTTATGCTCTTGATAGAACCTGATGGTGAAATCAATGCTCATTAAAGATCTTCAAGCAGTAGCTTAAAGTGCAAAGTTTTCTATTCATGGATAAGTCCAGTACAGCAGAAGGAACCTTGCATTCACACCAAGCAGTGTGACATGGAGCATGGCTCAATTCTCCTTTTCCTAAGCATGACAACAACAGCACAAGCACAGCCTGACAATTTGGGCATGCCTGTATCTGTCACATACCCACATATTAGCAAGAATGACTCTGGTGGCATAAGCAACACAGCTTTGGTCCAACAAACAAACACCTATCTAACTGAAAAGAACCCTCCCAACCCAATCTGGAATTTTTGGTTACTTAATTAATACAGTTTTGGTCCTTAAGTTTTATGCTGTACTGACTTGTGTTACACTACTCCCTGACAGACTCAGAGGGCACAAGGCTGTCTGCTCCATTTTGGGTGAAAGCTTGCATCCTACAAAGGCAGTCTGTTGGGTTATGCTTTCCACTGCTATCTCCCCCCAAATAAATCCTATTTCCTCCAAAGCAAAAGGCACTTACATACATCTCTTCATGTGTGGTTTTAGTTGTTAGTGATGAGTAACTCGTGGTATGATTAAGGAAATATTAAAAGGCACAACTTTCTAACCATAGAAATAGCAAGCTGAGAGACTCAGAGTGGGCTGAGAGAAAGCATGGGCACGTGAAGCTCTCTCTAAATGCAGCTTAGGCTCAAGACTACAAATTGTGACAACAAAAGCTGTCACTCAATTCCAAACAGTACTTGCAAAAGTTTCCAAGGTTTCATTTTGGAAGTAAGCTAAGGTGGTGTCCCAGCAATGGCATATAAGACTGTCTTTGGCAAATAAGACCTTTAACCTTGAAAGCAATGATTTTTTCCAAAGCAACTTGGATGGGCTTCCACTGAGGTTTGCCAAGATCCTTAAAGGAACTATCTGCATTTTTAAGTGCTAGATTAGTGCTGTTTGGGTAGTTCTCTATTATTTTTTGGCTTACCCATTATTCAGAAGAGCATCAGCTTTAGTTTACTGTCAGTGCAACAGAAGCTGGTTAGGTGTCAGGTGCTGGGGAGGGGAGTGAGATATTGCGGAATGGTTAGAGATTGAATTCCTTAAAGCAAGCAGGACAGCTCCAGGTGATATCTTCACAGCTGAGAGTAACATACTCCTCAAACTGAAATGTTTTCTGAAATGATGTGGGAAGTGACACAAACCAGCTGGACTGCACACAGCATAGGTGGTGGAGAGGCTGAGAGGGTTTGGATTTGAGCAGTAAGAGGTCAACCTTCAGGAAGTGATGTAACCTGATTGAATGGGATAAGGCTTTGAACAACCAAGGAAAAGTTGAGAAAAGACTGGTGTGGCAACCATGCTTAGCATATCCAGATTAGTGGAAGTGGACCAAGTTGGGGTATGCTACAGTTATTCTATGAATAATTAATTCTGTAAAAACATTCATGTTCAGATGGTCTTTAATCCTTGAATAATCTTCAGAAAGTGCTTCTTGCCCAAATTATGAATTGATATTAATTATAACAACATCTTATAGCATAATTATAGTGTTCTTTTCATTCCAACTCATCCTTAGGCTTTTCACAGCATATGCATAATTCATTTTTGCTTCCCTTAAGCAACACTTAGTAAAGACAAGGGATTGTATTAGCCATTAAGAAGGGTAATCAGACCACTCTTCCGAGTTCTCACCACTACACTAGCTTCTAAACGTTTCTTGCAATCACTGCCTGGTGGCAGCAGTGAGGACGGAAGAGGGAACTGTAATGGGGAATAAGGGAAAAGAACAAGTTCTTGTCATCAAACGCAGTCCCAATGTCTCTCACAGTAACCACAGCAGTACTAACTAAATAAAAGTTAGAGAGCATTTTAGAAGATAACGATATAATTGCCAAGTCAACGTGTGATTTCTATACTAAAATATGATTTCAAAGAATATTTGAGATGATGCTGTTGATATAACCATCTGCATCTTTGCTAGTAGATCCCTGGGAATTCAGAGTAACTGCTTCAAAGGAATGCCACGTTAAGGTAATTCTGGTTTCACTGAACCTGCTGGAAACAGGCATATTTTTGTAAGTATGTTTCTACTGTTTGGACTACAATTACAATAACAATAAAACTTTTGTGGCTGCACACAGTCATTCAGCAAGTCAAAAAGACACAAAAGACACAATAGCAATTATAGTATTGCACTATTAATTTTTCCCATCAGAAACCACTCAAAATATTAAACCATTGATACTCCTGCCTGGACAAAAGTATCATCTGGCAACTGAGAGCAAAGTAAGCATCAAAAGAAATCATTCTTGCCTTTGAGGTGTGTATAACTCTGTCTCTAAAGTTTTCCAGCTTCAATACTCACTATTATGCTTGAAAATTCTAATGGTGGCACCCGAAAGCCTCGCACCGAGAACGAGAGAAGTGTGGTTCAACTCATCACTTAAAATGAGGCAGCCCTGTGGAGAAGGAGTACAGTGAGCATCTGCATGAACTGGGAGGCTGCAGACTCGTGTGCACGTGTGTGCCAGCATACACACATGTTTATGATAGAGCATTGCACTGTCACCATCATATTTTCTGGAAAAATTCCCTTACCCAGGATTTCTCTCCTGGGAAGATGAGAAGCCTCAGTGAAAGAGGAAAACAATATTATATAATTTGCTTCTCCTGTGTTTTGCTGCTTTGGAATGTGGTTGGAGATTGTTTATCCAACAGGTGATTGTTTCATGTAAATTATTTTGACTTATTGGCCAATTGGGGCCAAGCTAGGTTGAGGCTCTGGAGAGAGTCATGAGTTTTTCATTATCTTTTAGCCTTCTGTCTGTATCCTTTCTGTATTCTTTAGTATAGTTTTAGTACAGCATTCTTTAATATAATATAGTATCATAAAATAATAAATTAGCCTTCTAAGAACATGGAGTCAGATTCATCATTTCCTGCCTTCATCTGGGAACCCGCAAATACAAGATTGCACCAATTAAGCTGTAAGGATTAAACATTAAATGAATTTTCTGCCACTTTTCTGAAGGTGCTGGGTTGCACTGCAAAGGCAAGCTGAAATAGTGGGATCAGATTCTCAGGCATTCCCAGGTGATGCACAGGGGCCCAATACTTCCTGTAACTGGAAAGCAGCAAATAACCCTATTAAAGGCTGAGTGCTTTATAGTAAAATCAGGCAATGTTGCTTCATCTATCACTGTTTACAGCCCATTTTGAGTTGTAAGGAAAATGCAGCCACCACCTCACATATAAAGACTGTATGGCAGTAGTGTAAGGAGGAGTAATAGTGAGGCTGGCCTGACATCATCCCTTTGGACTGCAGAATTGGGATGAGGAGAGACTGATGCCTGTAAGTCCCACCTCCATTAAGATGAGAGTCAAGTTTAGGAACCAGAGTCTTTCTCTGGTAAATGCATATAGACTTGACCTGTAGTATACTTTTTATTAATTAACTTAGTTGAAAACTCCTTTGATTTTAGAAATGAAAATAAAAATGTGGGAAAAGTAAATTTGTCTATTATATTAACAAGGGGCAGGACTCACAGTTGAAATTCAAACTTGAACCCTTGTTTAGCTCTGCTTCCTACTGAACAGGTTTTGCTGTGTTTCGTTACCCAAAGGGCCACATAATTAAGCAAAAACTTATTTTGAAATCATAGATTAGGTCTAGGTTGAGAGATACTCACACAATCTCCATAGAGACTGGTTTGCAGAACCAACAGTAAGTGTAGATGCAGCTTGACAAGAAAATGTAGCTGCTAGGCTTAATTATAGAAGAAAACATAGGAGTAAATCTCTCAAACATAAGGTAGTTGAATAATATTTGTAATATATATAATAATACACAGAGAATTTTCAAATATATATATACATACATATATTTTTTTTATTAAAAATGCATACAGTAATTTCTTTATTTGTGCCACTTATATCTATCCCACCTCTGACAGAGGCTTGAATCTCTACATGAAGCCAGGCAAGGGAGGAAAAATCATTATACAGGTAAGACAAGTGTCTCACACTGCATATCTCCAATTTCATAAATTTACCTTCATTAATTCTCTGTATCTGTCCCCCTTGAAACTGCTGGACAAGTTCTCCAGCACTGCTGCAGACTGAAGTTCACATTCTGGATAACTGAACCAACTCTCCCTGCCCAACACTTGTATTTTAGAGATCTTGAAAAAGCTGCAGTCATCTTCAGCAGAGAGTGAAGTGACTTCACCTCTGTGCTGGTGTTTCAGAAGTCCTGGCCATGCACCACAAACTGAATTCATTCTACCTCCACCAAGAGGGAGGTGAGGCTTTGTGCTTGCATGGCACACTTCAAACTGCTCCACACCTGGACAAGCCAAGGAGGAGCTACCACTTTCCAGCTATCAGCACAGAGCACATGTTTGCTACCAGTGTCAGGATGAGGATATCCATGCCTTTGAGTTAGGTACTCCAAACTGGAGAGGAGGTCCCTTCAGCACCAAGTAAGAACCCCACTTTTGTAACACGATCACAGTTTTAGATTTGCATTTGCTGCCAGCTTTCTTCGCAGGGCTGGCTGGAGCTCTGTGCTTTTTCTTTTCTCTAAGTGTTGTTAAAATTATCCTAATCATCATCTTTCATCACAGGCAGCTGGGCAAAATCTCAGCAAGTAGCCTAAATACTTCATCCCACGACACCTGGACATGGGATTCAACATTTGGTTACTTTTTAAGGAGAAGCAACTTCATGAAGAGGAGCTGGAGAGCTGTATCACTGATCCTTACACAGATGTTAGGTATGTGTGATAGCAACACTCAGTGATAGAGGAGCATATTTCAAGTCACAAGGTCATCATCTTTATGACTCACACATTCCTGATACCAAGCTTTGTTCCTCGATCAAGCCTTTCCACACATTGAAAGCCCAGATTACTGCAACAGCAGTTAAAACAATTAATAAGTGATTGTTCTACGTGTTCCTGAAGGAAGTACTCACCTTTCCAACAAGGGCTGGAATATTCATTGAGTTGGTTGCAAAGCCCATGCCAAACACCATAGCATCTTCCACACCAAGGAACGTGGCCACAAGTTTCTCTAGTTCTACATGTTTGTCTAGGGTGCCTGCAGAAATAAGCACAGGGAATATTAAATCTTGATGAACTGTGAAAGTTATTATGATACAAAACATACAGAAGAACAGGCTAGAAATGTGTCATTAAGCTATGTGACATTAAGTTCTGATGAGGGTTTTCCATTTGTATCCTGTGCATTTGGGCTAACGCAAGAGGTGCAAACCAGCTGTGACTAATGCTAACAAATACTGCTGCTGTTTGCTAGGGGAGCAAAGCAGTTGCTATGGAAAAAAGCTTCCTTTTCACACAATAACTTTTGACATAGTTTATTTTGAAGACTAATTTTTTGTCTTTTTCTCTCCCCTGCAATGAGGTCAAAAATACCTTCTTTTTGTAGGAATGTGGGACAAATAATTTAGGCATTCTTGAGTTCTCTCCAGATGTGAAAATAAAAATGGCTGACAACAAAATTCTTCCTTTTCTATTGTCTGTCGATATATGTGTACAAAATTCTTAATTAGGATTTTACATGGATAGAAAAACAAAAGCATTCTCCATATTTTTCTGCTTTGGAAGGTAAAAGCTATTCCACTCCCTATAACTGATGAAAACTCTGCTCTTTCTTTCCTCTCAACAGCAAACATAAATGATAATGCAACACTAGAGACTCTTCTTTATTGCATATTAATTATCTAATATTAGTGCTTGAAGTCTCCAAACAAGTAAGGTTCTCCAACCATCCAACAAAAGCAGTATCCTTCCTGCCCAGCTCACAGTGAAGGATGACAAAATACAGAAGGCAAACAAACAAAAGAGTGGTGTTAAGAGACTGAGATAACAGATAGCTTTGAACAGTAAGGAATCATCTCAACTTGCCAGCTCTCTAGTCTTTGGTTGCCTGGCTGTGCATTGCAGGGACCAAGGCAGAAGGAACTCTTACAGGATGATCTGTGGGGAAGAAAGCAGAGTGGCCTGTGGATTCTGAGAGAGCATTTCCCCTATGAATAAGGCTGTAATCAGAGAACAGAAGAAAAAAATTAGGCAAGTGAATATGTTACCTCACTTGCACTGCACAAACTGATGGCACAATACTATGAAGTGAATTACAATGGATGGAACAAGAAAGCTGTGTTCACTGTGATGGACAAAAGGCAGATGAGTGGAGGAAAGCAGAAGCTTGGCTTGAGTGTCTCAACAAGAATGATGAGTCAGGAAGATGATCTTACCTTCATCATGGAGCAGAGCTCATTAAAAAAAAATCAAATATAAATGTCAGAAGAAAAGTTTCAGCAATAGCAATAAGTCATCTGGTTACAGTGAAGGAGTGTTTTCATTATTTTTTCTCATTAAATAACTAAAGTAGGAATGATATTCATTTGGAAATAGAATGTGACAAACATCTATCAGGCAGGCAGGTAACACTCCAACTATCAGGGAGATAAGGAGCAAGGATCATGTGGCTTCTTGAAAAACCTGGATTACCTGGACAGTAAAGAACAGCAGTTCTGCTGAGATTTTGCCAGAGCCTTCCTGGGTTGTGCTAGACCTGAGCCTACTCCAGCAGAGCTTCAAGAGTGTCTCTGCACTCCTTGTATCACACTGCATGGACCTGGGGCTGGGTTGTCTCTGTGCTCTGAGAATTAGGTAATGAGACACAGAAAATGTGGCTCTGCAGAAACTCCACAATGTGTGAGCTGAGTCTGTGTGAAGCTCGTTGAGGATGGCTGTTTTTTGAATTTGTACATCCCAAGACACATGAGGATATGAGCTGGCCCTGCACACAGCCACTGTTTAGTACCCAAGTTCCATGAAATAGAGTGTTTCAGAGCTGAGCTGCTCACTGGAAATGTGGGTAAGAATCTGTCTTAAGGTGTAAGCCCAGCAGGACTCAGCATGTGTTTCTGTGGGTCTGTATTTTTTGCAAATTGGGCCCATCTAGTCTTCAACCTACAGCACCACCCATGGACAACTAAGAGTTCCAGCAGGATCAGCTGCATAGTGAGATGTTATTTTGTCCCTCGAGGGCTATCAGCACACCAAGAGAAGATGAAGTCTGAAGTGGAAGCTTGAAGCCAAGCTCACTATGGTCACAGCTTGAATTAGAAGGTTTGTGAAAGTGTGAGAAACAAGAAGTGTGTACTTTGCAAGGCTGGCATTTTAAGGCATGACACAATTGTCCCTGACTCTTCCAGGGATAAGTCTGACACTGGGGTGGAGTTAAAATTGCTTTTTGGGGTTGCATCACATGTTTTCTGTTTTTATAAACAGGCAAGGCCTGACTCAATACAGACTGTTCTGTTAAAGCTCCTATTAGATGACCCACAAAAGAACAGCACATTTTGCACCTATATTTATTGATTTTGTCATGGTGAAGAATGATTCATTTTGATAGTGACTGATTCCTACTTATTATTTACTAATGCTAAGTGGGAATGCAGATGATACTGCACATTACTGTTGCCTACAAATCCTGGAATACAAATTGAAATTGGTTAGCAAAACAAAATTCTGAATGACAAAGATTTGCAAAATGATCCCTGGTTTTGAATCATGTTAATTATCATGGCAATACTGTTGGTGGTAAGGTGTTGCAGAAGCAATGCAACACACACCAGTACTGTCAGTGGGAGATTCATGACTGCTGTATACATTGAACAGAGTTGAAAAAGCATATAATTATGCAATTATTTAATCATGTCAGGAGATATCTCTACACAGGATGTCCTTGGACACTGTACAAATGGCATCAATTCTACCACCTTTCTCCACTGGAAGAAACAAGGGGTCAGACATGTGCTGCTGGGATGAGGTTTGTCCACTAGCATTCCCAGCTGGTCCCAGCCACCACCATGACAAGCATAAACAGCACTACCAGAGAGATGCAAATTTGATCCAAAGGAACTGGCACAAGCTGAAACATCTCAGCATCTCAAGCTACATAACAAAGGCAGTAATTACACAGCTCTTCATTAAATACAACCTTAGAGATGTCAAGTGAGGTTAGCTTGGCCCTTAAAATGTTTTGTATTGTGCTAGATTCAAGACCAGTATCATGATCTGATGAATGAAAAGTTATATACTAGATATATCTTTTTAATTCACTGTATACACAGATACTTTCTATGCTTGCCCTATAAACAGACATTAGAATTTCCCCACTGACTGACTACAGCTTGGCTTGACCCAACAAATGAGGACACAACTAAACAATGCATACCAAATCACCAGGAAGGATTTAAGACAAAAAAAGAGAAAGATACCTGCATCTTTAAGAGACAATTCTTTTGAAAGTTATTCTTCTCTGCTGAACAGTTGTAAGTAATACAATACAGCAGGAGTTACTGTGATCCAAAACTATACAGGTATTAAGATCACAGATCATATCAAAAGTGGACTTTCACAATTGGAACCACCTCCACAGATTCCCACACTTCTCACAGCAAAACCCCTACTTTTCAAAATCTGATGACCCAGTTCTCTCCATTAACTTGCCACTGCACTCTGGTGACAGGGAACACGAAGTACACTGTGTTTTGACAGGCTTTTTCATACACTTGCTCTTTTTTCATACCCATGCTGTTGGGCTGAAAGTCACTGCCAGACTACTAGAGAGATAAAGCTGGAAATTGGACTTCCCATGATCCATAGAGTCATTATTTAGTTTTACACTTTCAGCTTGGACAAGGTGGTTTATGCCACTGGTTAGTCTGCCCAACACAGTCTTTCAGGTTCTTACACACTAATGACACAGACTGGTTGAACTGGCAACAGTGTCTTGGAATAGAATTTTATGTTTGGAATTCTAAGACTCAAAGAAGACAGGGAAAAAACACCTGCTTATCCCAGGTTAAACAAAAGCTGAAAGAGTGAACTGGTACAGGCAACAAGCCCTTGAAAGAAAAAAGAACAGCTGGGAACCCTGTGCATCCCTGCCATGACTCACCAAGGTGACTGAGAACCATTACACTATGAAAATGAGGCATCCTTGGGAGGGTGGGGAGCAGAACAAAACATCTGAACTTCCTTGTAACATTTGAAACTTAAGGTCACAAACTCACTCTGGTAAGATGATTGTCAGAGATGAAAAAATCTGTATTGTTGAAAGACATACATGCTTTTACAAAAAGCAAGATTGGACGAGTTATTAATAGCAAGATGAAGAAATAGAAGCTGTGGAAATTATATAATTTCTTTACACTGTGTTACCAGAGCAGATGTTGCAGATGGTATCACTGTCCTACAGACCCACAAGCAGAGGAAAGCCTCAGCTTGTAGAATGAGACTTGTTGGAAAGAGAGGGAGAGAAGCACACAGTAACATTATGCAGTTGCCTCATTTAACACTGTCTGTGCAAAAAAGAGTCCCAAAAATAAGGGGAGTTGATTAATCACTTGACAGAAAGGAAATGCTCACGTTTTCTTAACATTGCTACCAACTGACAGGGCTTTCCTACCACAAAGATGCCGTGGGTGTCATAAATCTAATAATGTACCTATGTAACTTAGTGATTCTCAGAAAAAAAAAAAAAAGTAGATTAGTTTTAACATAACTTCCAGCTAGATTTAGATTATCTGCTTTTGTTTATTTTCTTTTTTTTTTTTTGCCTTTAGAAAAACACAAAGTTAAAATTTCCAGTGTAAATCCAGCATCTTCATGCCAAAGCCTATATGGCAACATCTTAAGTATCTAAATATTTGCATGGAGATAACATCATATATCAGAGATACTTCAGGTATTTAACAAGTCACATAACCCTTAATTCCTACAGATGCCTTCAATTCCACCTGCTAGAAGATGGGCTATCCAGATTATTAATCTTGCACTGCAAGGCATACTTTTGAATGGTGAAATACAAGGAACAAACCTGACCCAACGATTATAAACTGATTGTAAGCTGGATTTGTTATTTATGAGAGGGTAGGCACAAAAAGGAAAAGGACGTTAGTGGACGTGACAAAAGAGAATCCTTTGCATTAACCGTTTCCTAATTTATACCATACTCTATCAGAAAACAGCTAAGATTAGGAAATATGTGTATATATACACATA